TAATAAATTAATTTTTTATTACTTAAATTCACTAAAACGACGTCATTTTGCTTATAATTAATTAGTCAATCATGCCGATCATACCGGGAGTGTTCATGCCGATTTCACGACCGACACCGGTTGAACTGGTTCAACCGGCTGGCATGCCACCGGCATGACAATCACGGAAAAGATAGAATATTGTTCGAAAATGACTCGTTCCATTCTTAGAGCCAAGTTTAAAAAGGTTATAAAACATTTCCCTCAACATTCAGGTCTTTGAACCTGTTTAATTAAGATTGGAAGTTATAATTGCCCACACCTATCGAGAATGTAACAACTCCCGCGCTACATATCTAATTATGGTCATTTTACTTACTTTAGGATTACATAGAATTGATCGTAATGATAAAGCCTCTAACACACTGATGAAGTATAGTTTGTTCAGTGTCACTGTTCTACTCGTTATATTGTAAATACAGGTTAGGCCACTCTTTTATATCTGACTTTCCAAAAAAAAAAAAATCAATAAGATAGCTAATTTAAACTTTATGTATATATAGAGGCTAGTATATGCCTAGCATGTTCTATATTGATGCATTCGCACTCATTATATCTATTTCAAACTAACTTATTGTTTGCTATGTCAAGTTGCTACCTATAACATTTTTTTTACCGTAATCAAACTAACTTATTGTATCACTTAAATTTATTTTTAATATATGTGTTCTAGCCACAAAGTTTATCAACCATGGCTAAATCTTTGATTTTTGCTAGCAATTAAATACTTCATAACAATTTTATAAACATAATACCTACACTATTTAAAGACTACAACAAAGAATTTGTTTACCCATAAAAAATCAGCTTGTACCACATCGATTAATTACAAGGGAATTAATGGATTTATAAGGCCAGCTCAACATTAATGATTAAAAGAGTCAGCTGGGCCTAGTTGGGTTCGATTTTTGGGCCTAAGTGGCCAACCCCCTTCTCCTCTATACGATGGTCGACCCGTCTCCGAGGCCCCCATAGTCGGACGATGCCTCCACCCCTTAGTATGAAAGTTGGCCTAAAAAAACTAAGTCTTGGAAACAAGGCGACACAACGGGGTGCCAAACGACCGGGTACCAAGCCTGGTACCAAATAAGGGGGCCAAACAAGAGGGTATCAAGCCGACAAGGCAGGCCTGATACCCAAGTAAGAAATTTGGCTAAGTATGGAAAACAAGGCGACACAACGGGGTGCCAAACGGCCGGGTACCAAGCTGGATACCAAATAGGAGGCCATCCAAAGGTTAAGTATGGGAAACAAGGCGACACAACGGGGTGCCAAATGTTCGGGTACCAAGCCGGGTACCAAATAGGAGGTCATCCAAAAACTAAGTCTTGGAAACAAGGTGACACAACAGGGTGCCAAATGACTGGATGTCAACGACGGGGTATCAAGCCGGCAAAGCAGGGCTTGGTACTTTGACATATAATTTGGCTAAGTATGAAGCAAAAGGGGTATCAAGCCGACAAGGTAGGCTTGATACCAAAAGATATAAAAATTGGCAAAGTATGGAGCTAAGGGAACTAAGAGAGTCATACAGAAACAAAGTCTGGATATCAAGCCAACAAGACGGACTTGATAGCCAGACATCAGGGTATCAAGCCAACAAGACAAGAAATTCGACTAAGGCATGGTGACTAGCTGAGGTGGCCACCCAACTATGGATGGATCGACCAGGATGCCGAGCTCAGCCCTTATGAGGCCATATGAAGACAAAGTCCAAAGACGGGCTTGGTAACACCTTCACGATGTACCAAACCGGCAGGGTGCAACTTACCACTTGACGAGGCTACAAAAACTAAGTATGGAGAGCAAGCCACCAAGACTGGCTTGGTAGCAAGGGGTGTCAAGTTGATTACATTGGCTTGGTGGTTGCCGGAAGGTATCAAGCCCATGAGACAAGCCACCAGGTTTGGCTTGGTAGCAAGGGGTGTCAAGTTGATTACATTGGCTTGGTGGCATGCCGGAAGGTATCAAGCCGATGAGAAGGCTTGGTAATAACCAACAAGTTCATGAGGAGGGCTTGGTAACAACCAACAAGCCGATGAGACGACTTGTGTATGAACACAATGATTTGCACCTTGACTTCTTAAACAACGATTAATAACACGGTTCACTCCTCTCCGAACAATGTTCAAACGAGTGTGTTTGATGTTTTTGATGGTTTTTGGGAACAATCTAAGTTACTCTACTCCTATGGAGGTTCAGTGAGAGCTCCGAAAATCTAAAAGCTTATTTGCAGAGAAAAGATAAATTTTGACATTGTGCGTCAAATGTTTGGTTGTGGAACCCTTACTTCTTCTTCGTTTCTTCTATTTATAGCCACTAGGAGTAACTGCCTTGGTAACCGCCTTGGTAACTGCTAGCCGGCTTGTTGCTCCAACTTCCTTAGCGACCCCTTTTCGTTGCCTTGGTAGCCAATTGGTAACTGTTGTCTTGGTCTTCACCTCCATTGCCTTGGAGCTCCTAGACCCGTCTTGTTGACTGGTTGGTATCCATCGCCTTGGAGGCCCTTGTCCCGTCTTGGGGTTGGTGGGCACTTGATGGCCTTGATGTCGGGTCAGGTTGGTGTTGAGCCTTGTCACCCTGTCATAACTGCATGGTGTTGAGGCTCTTGCCTTAGCCTCCATGAACCATGATAAGGTCTTGATCTCACCCTCGACTGCTTGATGACTCCCCACTCTTGTCGTCTTGAGACCGCTAACACCTCAATGACACCAAACCCTCCTCATGAACTTGTTGGTTGTTACCAAGCCGTCTCATCGGCTTGATACCTTCCGGCATGCCACCAAGCCAATGTAATCAATTTGACACCCCTTGCTACCAAGCCAACCCTGGTGGCTTGTCTCATCGGCTTGATACCTTCCGGCATGCCACCAAGCCAATGTAATCAACTTCACAACCCTTGCTACCAAGCCAACCCTGGTGGCTTGGTATCCATACTTAGTTTTTTGTAGCTTCGTCAAGTTGGTAAGTTGCACCCTGCCTGTTTGGTACCCCCGTTGAGGTGCTACCAAGCCTGTCTTGGGAATTTGTCTCCATATTTCCCCTTAAGGGCTGAGCTCAGCAACCTGGTCGATCCATCCATAGTTGGGTGGCCACCTCAGCTAGTCACCATGCCTTAGTCGAATTTCTTGTCTTGTTGGCTTGATACCCTGATGTCAGGGTTTCTGTATGACTCTCTTAGTTGGTACCTGGCTTGACCCCCTGTTGCCTGGCCACCAAGTCAGTCTTGCCGGCTTGATACTAGCCAATTTTTATATCTTTTGGTATCAAGCGTACCTTGTCGGCTTGATACCCCTTTTGCTTCATACTTAGCCAATTTTCATATCTTTTTGTATCAAGCCTACCTTGTCGGCTTGATACCCCTTTCGCTTCATACCTAGCCAAATTATATGTCAAAGTACCAAGCCCTGCTTTGCCAGCTTGATACCCCGTTGTTGACATCCGGTCGTTTGGCACCCCGTTGTGTCGCCTTGTTTCCAAGACTTAGTTTTTGTAGGCCAAATTTCATACTAAGGGGTGGAGGCATCGTCCGACTATGGGGGCCTCGGAGACAGGTTGACCATCGTATAGAGGAGAAGGGGGTTGGCCACTTAGGCCCAAAAATCGAACCCAACTAGGCCCAGCTGGCTCTTTTAATCATTAATGTTAAGCTGGCCTTATAAATCCATTAATCCCCTTGTAATTAATCGATGTGGTACAAGCTAATTTTTTTATGGGTAAACAAATGCCCCCCACAACTTAGTGTATAAGAATTATGCACTAAGTTATTGAACTCAACTTGACCACCTAAAAATAATACTTATCTCGGCATCACCTTCCTTAGCCAAATTTTGGCTTTGATTACAAAGCCATGCACCCATAGCCTTTTATAGAATGCTAGGCCCCGACAGAAGGAAGTAAAACTTAACTAGCTCAATTTCCTTTCTATGTCATGGCTAGCTACTCAAGCCATGCTTTATCACAAGGTATCTTGCCATGTCTTAGGGTGTGGGAGGCTTGGCATGCCGGCCACCATGGTGGCCGCCCAACATTGAACCCCTTGATACCTAACGTCCTAAAGAGAAGGGACATAAGGCTTGAGATACTTGCCAATTGATTAATCGATCATGTAGCATCCCATCCTCTTACATCAAGCCGGGTACCAAATGGAGGTGAAGACCAAGACAACGATTACCAATTGGCAACCAAGGCGGTTACCAAGGCAGTTACTCCTAGTGGCTATAAATAGGAGAAACGAAGACGGGAAAAGGGTTCCACAACCACCATTCGACACACTATGTCAAACGTTTATCTTTTCTCTGCAAATTAGCCCTAGCCTTAGTTTTCGGAGCTCTCACTGAACCTCCGTAGGAGTAGGTGTAATTAACTTAGTTTGTTCCCAAAAATACCATCAAAAACATCAAACACCCTCTTTCGAACATTGTTCGAAGAGGTGTGAACCGTGTTGATTGTCGTTGTTCAAGAAGTCAAGGCGCATTCATTGTGTTCAAACACAAGTTTTTCCTCGCCGGAAAACAAATTGGCCCACCTGGTGGGACTCTGTGTGTTTGATTTGATGGCTCCACGACTGAGAGAACAAGAAGGTGATATTTCACCAGGAGTTATGAAGGAGTTGGTGGACAAGTTCATAATTTGGCCAAACATCAGTAAGTGTTGTCGGAAACAATGGCATGATTGAGATATTGCCACCGGCGGCACCTTATGCCGATGTAACCACCACTGCCATGTCACTCTTCTCAATTGTGGATGATAACTACAAGATGGTGGTGGAGAACCGTCAAGTGATGGTGGAGATTCGTCGATTGATGGATGAGAGTTTGAATGGACTTGTTAGAAGTTCACAACAGACAAATCTAAAACTTGCTTCTTTTAGTTCTATGTTAGATAGACGTTTGGATGAATTGCTTGAAGCAACTACAGAAAATATAAATTGCTTAGATAAGTTTAAAAAATATTTTATAGAACCAATGGTGCGAGAAATTTCTTTACCAAAAAATGCTATAGATCCGCCACCAAGCATTGCTAATGAGTATACAAGTATCATGTTCTCCGGTGGCCGGACTACCCAGCCACGGTCAGGAAACTTACCGCCTCCGGCAATGATTCAACCACCTCTTCAACAAGGCGGTTATGACAAGAATATTACTAACGCGTTCACCACCCATGTAAAGCAGCCGCCTGTGCAGACAGTTACACTAAAAACTGTCTCAGAGGCTAGATCATTCTTGAACATGAGAGTTGGTGGAGGTTCACTAGCTATGGATGTGCTACCACAAGTTTTCCCAACCTCGTTGCCACCGATGCTTAAACAGTCTGGTGCATGCAAACCACCAGGGGGCAGGAAGAGGTGCATGGAAGCCTACCACCTGACAAGTTGAAGATGAAGAGTCAGGCTGGGGGGCAAGTTGATGTCAAGAAAGGTGAACAAAATGGTGTTTCCAACAGAACACCATATTTGTTTCATAAGGATGGCATGGGCGGCATATCTCCATCTCCATGCAGTGGGCAGGGGGGCATGTCATCAGACATGAAGGATGGAGTGAGTGGCAAGTCTAAGTGGGTGTTGCCTACCCATGCCAGCTATAATTTTCATAACTTTGACAATGTGTCAAAGAGTGCACAAGGAGGCAAGGCCCCTTGTAGCATGCCACCCATGAAGGGTCGACAAGGGGGCATATCATCAACCACAAACAATAGAAAGATACACATGCCCAAGAAGCCACAAGAAACCCAAGCCACACATGCTTGTAGTAAGAATGGTAGTGAAGTTGAGTTTGGCAAATGGGGCACGTCAAAAACCATGAACAAGGCTATGGGGGGCATGTCTCCAACCAGTGGAAAGGGGGGAACGTCACCGACAGTGAAGAAACGAGTGGAGAACAAGTCTAGGAGTGTTCATCACACCCAACCCACTCAAAAAATTTCTAAGTATGAGATGGCGTTAAGGGATGAACGAGGAAGCAAGTCCATGCCTACAGCCCCCCATTGCATGCCAAACATGAATGGCAAACAAGAAGGTATGAATAAGACATCTCGACACACACCAACCAATCATGGTCCTATAAAAAAATCAAGGGTTGTTATGTGTTAAGTGTAAAAACCATGAAGACATGGGTTTTAGAAAGAGTCAAGTTGGCCACAAGGGTGGTCATCAACTCTGTAAGTCCAAACACTCGTCTTCTCAACCATATGGGAAGAGTAAGCATGTGCCTAGTTGGGGTAAAATAAGACAGATGACAACTCTTGGCCCCTTTGATGAGTCAAAGGAGTTGAAAATGTCTAGTGCACCACCCAGGACGAGACAAACACATCGGGTTCAACATCAACTTAACATGTCTAGTAAGGTGGCCAAGGTAGTGGATCATGGGACCCCTTGCAAGCCCACTAAGACAGGGCAAGTTGAGAGGATGCCATCCATTATTAAGTTGGAAAATTTGAAGCCAACACCGAATGAGTTGTTTCCCCCAACGGAGGGAAGACAAGTAGTGTATGGATGGTTGGTCTGGTTTAACCCATGGACTTGGCAGTGGCTGTACACCTTTGGCACGTTGGTGGGTGCCAAAGGGCATTGATATTAGTGACATTTGTCACTCTCTTCTATATTAAAACAAATAAATAATTATAATATTAGTAAAAAAAAGATAAGAAAATTCAAAAGTCAATCATGGGTAAGAAATACGAGGTCGAAGTGTCAAGTTTTAGTTAGATTTGTGATGTGAGAACCTGGTCATAACTGATAAACCACACTCATGTGGTGGTTGGATCCATGCCATTTACATGGCATGAGCAGGTGATTCATTGTCGGTGTAGACCCTTTATTGTCCAGGCCACCCATCCAAGGAGGCCTTCTTGTCGTAAGAGGATGGGATGCTACATGATTGATTAATCAATGGCAAGTATATCAAGCCTTATGTCCTTTCTCTTTGGGACGTGAGGTGTCAAGGGGTTCAATGTTGGGCGGCCACCATGGTGGCCGGCATGCCAAGCCTCCCACACCCTAAGACATGGCATGATAACCTCGTGATAAAGCATGGCTTCAGTAGCTAGCCATGACATGGAAAGGAAATTGAGCTAGTTAAGTTTTACTTCCTTCTGTCGGGGCCTAGCATTCTATAAAAGGCTATGGGTGCATGGCTTTGTAATCAAAGCCAAAATTTGGCTAAGGAAGGTGGTGCCGAGATAAGTATTATTTTTAGGTGGTCAAGTTGAGTTCAACTACTTAGTGCATAATTTTTATACACTAAGTTGTGGGGGGCATTTGTTTACCCATAAAAAAATCAGCTTGTACCACATCGATTAATTACTAGGAGATTAATGGATTTATACGGCCAGCTCAACATTAATGATTAAAAGAGCCAGCTGGGCCTAGTTGGGTTCGATTTTTGGGCCTAAGTGGCCAACCCCCTTCTCCTCTATACGATGGTCGACCCGTCTCCGAGGCCCCCATAGCCGGACGATGCCTCCACCCCTTAATATGAAAGTTGTCCTACAAAAACTAAGTCTTGGAAACAAGGCGACACAACGGGGTGCCAAACGACCAGGTACAAAGCTTGGTACCAAATAAGGAGGCCAAACAAGAGGGTATCAAGCCGACAAGGCAGGCCTGATACCCAAGTAAGAAATTTGGCTAAGTATGGAAAACAAGGCGACACAACGGGGTGCCAAACGGCCGGGTACCAAGCCGGATACCAAATAGGCACTACAAGAAAACTTCCATTTAGTGTCGGTTATTTCTTATGTTTTGTGTCGGTTCACTTAACCGACGCGAAACCCGTCAACACTAACCGAATTTGTGTCGATTTTAAGCGGCCGCCGGAGTAACCAACTTAAATTTATTTTGCGCCGGTTCTAACCCACTCTAATTATTTATTGAAAAAATCCGATTTTTTATATTTGATTCATTGTCTATGTCGGTTCAACCGACTTTACATAACCTACCCAAATCTGGAAAAAAAATAAAAATATATTTGCGTCACCTTCGATCCTTCCCGTCCACCAACACCTCGTCTTCCCTTCCCCCGAACCCTCCTTGGTCGGCAATGCAGACAACTTTCCCATCATCACCGCTCTGATTCACTCCCATCCTGACCCGCCCGTCGCCATCTTCTTTGATTTCTTCTTCGGATGGACTCTCGACCGCCGCATCAAAATCTGAAGCTGATTCGCTTCCCATTATTCTCAGCTTGCAACCCCAACAGTCAGCCATCGAATCGGCATCGCAGATCGTCTTCTAACCATCGTCTTCCCTTGTGGAGGGATCCCTCACCAAACTTTCTTTCTTTTTTGCAGGTACCCACAGCTTCTAGTGACGACAATGACTGCGAAAGTGGTCGATTTGCTTCCAACGGACGGTGTTCTTCTACATCCGTGAAACTGGAAGGTAGAGCTGGGATTGAAACGAGAGAGTAGGAAGGATGAGGCGCCGACTACCCTTCTCCCCTCGCTCAATTTGGGGAAGCGGTGGTGGAGAGGAGAGCGAATCCATAGTCTTCTCCTCCTTGATTGCTCCAGGGAGTCTCGGGGTAATACCACTCGGATGTTGGTGGATACCCCCAAAGGTTGGAGAAGCCATGAGGATCCATGATTCAGATCTGCACCAACAAAAAAAACACCCAAGTGAAAAGCAATGGTGGAAAAGAAAAGAAAAACGCTAAAGTAACAAACTTCTGCCTTTCCTAATAATCTAGAAAGTTCCCCGGCAACGGCGCAAAAAACTTGACTAGCTATGACACAACTTCTAACAATGGCCAAGTGTAACCAATGAAAGGGACTGCAGTATAGTGGCTCAAGTAATAAATATAGAATCCACGGGTCTCTAGAGTTACTATTACTCAGCTTCAGTTCATTATCTAGCAAACCAGATTAAGATGGAGAACTAAAACTACTCTAACAAACTACAGTTAAAGTTAATCTAATTACAGGTTGGGAACTCACTTAGGTATGATTCCACCTAGCCACTAGCCACTAGCCAGATTAATGATTGATGATTTCTAACTTGTTTCACTTTAATTCACAATGCGGAGAATCCTTGACTAGACCTTGAATCTCGACTAAAGGATCAAGGCCCTCTTGAGTCGATTGCCTAGAGGGATTTATCCTTCTCTAGAACAACCGGTCAAGGCGTTCTGAACTAGACTCCCTCTATCGAATGAGGTTCTCAATCGATACAAAGCAGTGAATCAACCCTCGACTAAAGCAATCCATCCAATATTATCAATCTATGGTGCTCTATTGACCTAATCAGGTATTCGCTCTCATAGGATCAAAGCAGAATCAATAATCTCGACTAAATCAAAATTGAATAATGAAAACGTGCATAGATTGCATATGAACTCAAGATTATCAAGTAGGAGTACTCATACAATCATCCAATCAAACAAACAGAGCTAGGGTTCCTCAAAACCTAAGTGAAGGGAAGTTACTCCATAGAGAAGAGAGAGATTGCAGTAAGAATCTTCAGATGATCAATCTTCAAGTTCGGGCTTGTTCCTCGAGCTTCCAAGGCGAAGAAATCCTCCAATTCCACTCCAAGAATGCCCTCAAATCGCCCTCTCTCTCTCTCTTTGGTTCGTCCCTTGGGTGTTCGGGATCCAATACCCAGCTCTCTCCCTAAAAAACACATACAAAACAGGCTTTTAACAGCCTGCGTTCGCGCCCGGTCGGGTATTTTGGGTACCCGGCCAGGTATTTTTGGTTCATGACCGGGGGGCCTTCCTATGCTGTCAAAAATCCCCTATCATATGGTCAAAATACCCGGTCGGGTATTTTGGTCAATTATTTTGCAATTTCGGGTCCCCTATCTTTGATTCTCCGTTTCTCCCTCGTTCGGACTCCAAATCAGGTGCCATTTGATCCCAGATACTCGTAGTCTTGTCCTCTTTCTTCTCATGACAAGATTACATGATTATATGGTCACAAACCGAGGTAGAAATCCATTCTTCTTCAAGTCATAGCCGAGTTTATTCCCCCAAGTCTCCAATTGATCTCGAATTGACTTGAAACTTGCGCCTACGCTTCACTTTATGTGTTAGGACCTGAAATGAGACTAGGGAACAAAACCTAGCGTAAAATAGGCCAAAAAAGCGATAATGCAAGATTAAACGATCAATAAACGAAAGGGAAAACATGTGAAAATATCGAGTCATCAATCGGGTCCATAAAGGTTCGGGAACATGATGGTTTGTTCTGTACCGTGAATGATGCCAGGCATGTTCCACGAATGACAAAGAACCTGATCTCCTTGAGTCTACTCGACAGCAATGGTTTCAGCTTCAAAGGAAAAGGTGGAGTTGTGTATGTCTGCAAAGGTTCAAGGAAGGTGTTGAAGGGCGTGAAGCGTGGGACCTTGTATGCATTACAAGGGTCTGTGTTGTCTGGTTCTGCTGCAGTTGCATCGTCTTAGGTTCATCAGGAAGATATGAACACTCTCTGTCACATGAGGCTAGGGCATATGAGTGAACGAGGGATGCAAGTTCTATCGAAGAGGGATCTTCTTTGCGGGCAGAAGGTGCAGAATTTGGAATTCTGTGACCATTATGAGTATGGAAAGCTACATCCCAGCAAGTTTCCCGACAAGGGTATCCACCGGACGAAGGGGATACCAGATTACCTCCACTCCGACTGTTGGGGTCCTTCACGAGTTGAATCCATTGGAGGCAGCAGATATTTTATGTCTATTATTGATGATTATTCGAGATTTACTTGGAGTTTGATGATGAAGCAGAAAAGTGAGGCTTTCACAAAGTTCAAGCAGTGGAAGACATTGGTGGAGAATCAGACCGGGAGAAGATCAAAAAGCTGTGAACGGACAATGGTCTGGAGTTTTGTAATTCTGAGTTCAACGAATTCTGAAAGGATGAAGGGATTGGCCGTCATCAGACCGTTAGAGATACATCACAGTAGAATGGCGTTGCAGAAAGGATGAACCAGACAATGTTGGAGAGAGCACGGTGCATGCTCTCTAATGCTGGACTAGAGAGAAGATTCTAGACTGAAGCAGTAAACATGGCATGATTCCTAATAAACTGTGGACCTCACACAGGTATCGAGTTTAAGACTCCTTATGAGGTGTGGTATGGTAAGCCTGCTGATTACTCTTCACTGAAAGTTTTTGGGTATCCTGTTTATTATCATGTGGATGAGGGTAAACTAAACCCAAGGGCAAAGAAGGGTGTATTTGTGGGTTACGGAGATGGAGTTAAGGGATTTCGAGTCTGGTCACCTTCCGAGCATTGAGTTATACTCAGTAGAAATGTGATATTTGATGAGAAGTCTATGTTTAACCCCATGTTGAAGGTTATTGTTGTTGAAAGTAGCAGGAATGTTGATAAGCAGGTGGAGCTGCAAACTCCCAATGAGAGTAAGTTTGACCACCAAGGTGGAGAAGATCAACATGAGGATGTTTCTAGAGAGCCAGAAACTTCAAATTCGAGTGCAGGAGCTCAACCTTCTTTAGCTTACGGTAGACCAAAGATAGCGACTACAGGAGTACCTCCAGAGAGGTATGGTTTCGAGGACATGGTGGCGTATTCATTTCAGGTTGCCGAAGAAGTGGATGCAGGTGAGCCACAGTCCTATAGAGAAGCCGTTTTGGGTGGCCAAGCTGATCAGTGGCTTGCCGCAATGGGAGATGAGATGGAATCCCATGACAAGAATCAGACTTGGGAGCTAGTCAAACGACCACAAGGAAGGAAGATTGTTACAAACAAGTGGATCTATAGAAGAAGGAAGGAATCACTTCTAAAGAGGGCATGAAATTTAAAGCTCGAGTGGTTGCACGTGGCTTCTGGCAAGGGAAGGAGTTGACTACAATGTGATTTTCTCAGCAGTGGTCAGACATAATTCGATTAGAGTGCTACTAGAAATAGTGGCACATTATGACTTGGAGCTCGAGCAGCTAGACGGGAAGACAGCTTTCCTACATGGACTTAAGCAGTCTCTGAGGCAGTGGTACAAGAGATTTGACAGTTACATGCTTGAGCTGGGCTACAACAGAAATCCATATGATTGTTGTGTGTATCACAACAAGGTGGAGGATGGTTCGATGATCTATCTTGTTCTGTATGTGGATGATATGCTCATAAATGCGAGGTTGAAGTTTGATATCCAGAAGTTAAAGGGGCTTCTTAGTGCTGAGTTTGAGATGAAGGATTTGGGAGCTGCTCAGAAGATCTTGGGTATGGAGATTTACAGGGACATGTCGAAAAAAGAAGCTTTTCTTGTCACAAAAGAGCTACATCCAGAAGATACTATCGACGTTTGGCATGTCTTCAACAAAGCCCTTAACTACTCCTAGAGCTTTAAATGTTCATCTATCCTCAGCTTATGCACCACAGTCAGAGGCTGAGAAGGAGTACATGTCGAGAGTCCCATATGCTAGTACAGTAGGTAGCTTGATGTACGCTATGGTATGCACTAGACCTGATCTTGCACAAGTTGTTAGTGTTGTCAGTAGGTTCATGATACAACATGGGAAGGAGCATTGGCAGGCTGTGAAGAGGATCTTCTGGTACCTTAAGGGTACACCTGATGTGGGGATTAGCTTCGGAAGTGATACAGAGTGCTTGGTGTCTGGGTATTCTGACTCGGACTATGTTGGAGATGTTGACACAAGGAGATCGATGACCAGTTATGTATTCACTCTTGGGAGTTCTGTAGTGAGCTGGAAGGCAACTCTGCAGTCGGCGGTGACATTGTCTACTACTGAGGCACAGTATATGGCATTGACAGAAGCTGCTAAGGAGGGAATATGGTTGAAGGGACTGGTTGGTGATCTGGGTCTACATCATGATTAGGCAGTGGTGTATTGCGACAGTTTGAGTGCAATATGCTTGGCCAAGGATCAAGTCCACCATGAGAGGACTAAGCACATCGACGTGAGGTATCATTTCTTGAGGACAAAGAAAAGAATTAAGGTGAAGAAGGTTGGCACCGCGGATAATCCTGCTGATATGTTCACGAAGTCGGTTCCACATGGCAAGTTCCAACACTGCTTGGACTTGCTGAATGTCTTGAGTGGGTGACTCCACTCTGCGGGGCATTGATGGCGGGAGAAAGAGAGAAGGAGCAGAGTGCATCAGAGATTTTAGAGGAAGAGGATTCAAGTCAAGATGGAGATTTGTTGATGTGACTTGAATCGGAATATCAGTCGCTACGACTGGTAGTCGGGGGTCT